AAGCCCACCAGGCAGGGGTGCCACCCCCCCAGAGAACGGGCTGCCAGGGCCAGCCCCACGGGGTCACCCCCGTCTCGGCACCCTAATGATGTCCCCGAGTGCCCGGTGTCCCCATCCCAGACCCCGCGCGGGTGCTGCAAGCAGGGACCCTGCTTTGGAAGGGGACAGCAAAAAATGCCCCAGCCTGGGGGACAGATGGGTTGCTTGGGGTCATCGGGCAGCAAAGAGGGGAGGGTTAATTACACGCTGATGGGGAATTGCCAAAATGAACGTGCCAGCTGGAGGGGAAGCATTGAGTGTCTGGGGAAAGGGCTCTGCTCTGCCAGCCCGGACATATCTCCTCTTCCCTCCCCATCCGCAGCCCTGATATCCGATCAGAAACCCTCCTGAGCATCTTCCCTTAAAGCAGCACCACCATGCCCGATTTGACTCCAAAATCTGTTGGTTTAGGGGTTTTCCCAGAGCCCGGGACCGGGAGGGGTCTCTCCTTCGCCTGCGTTAACGCGCCGTGTTCTCCAGGAGCAGCCTCGTGGCGAGCGTTTGCGACCTGAACTTGGCAGCGTTGTGCTGATTCACGCCGGCTTGTCACAGAAACTGCCTAAAACCGACAGAAAAAGGGACGCTGACTCATGTGTTTGCCTTCCCCAGGCGGAGAGAAATGTGAAAGGTGAACAAAGTACTTAACGGGCGATAATTACATCCAGCACTGAAAAATCCGATCCATATTAATAAGCCAGTGGGTTGTTACGAACAGAGGCCTTTCACAATTAAAAATAATAATAATAATAAAAGTAGTTAAGATTTTAACCTTGACAGCGACCTTTTAGCAACAACTCTCAGGAAAACCCTTAATTTTGTCCCACTGACACTCATAAACGTGTGTTAAGGACAAACTCCAGGCGCCGTGCTCCCGGACACCCCGCAGGCTGCAGGGGACGGCTCCCCATCAGCACCCCATTTTTGGGGCAGGGATAAACCAGCGTGGGACGGGGTGAGATGGGAGATGAGGAGCTGGAGAGCAAAACCCTCAGTGGGAGAGCTCTCGGCTTGGGAGAAAGGAGCCGGCGAGGGTCCACCTTAATGCAGGATGAAAAAGCAAATTGCTGGCAGGAGAGCAGGGATGCTGCTCCGTTGCCATGGCTACCCCCAGCGCCAAGCGAGCATCCCTGGGTATCGCCCCGCGGTACCCGAGCTGCTCCCGGGTGCCTGGGCTGGTGCAGGGGCAATTTGGGAGCAAAGGAGGAGAGGTTTGGAGGGTCTGGGCTTTGCAGTGTGGTCAGGAGGGAGGATGCGTGCACCCGGGATGCACGGAGGAGCTGCGCTGCCACGGGGTCAGGGTGAGGTTCCTGCCTCCACCTTTCCGAAATGAGGGATTGGGTTCAGAAAGCTTCTGCCTGGCACTGATCTGAGCCAAAGGAGTCGGACACCCATGGGAATGCCCATGCTGGATGGCAGAGCCCATCCGACTGATCCCTGCCTGCAAGAAGGAGCCACAGCCGCGGGGGTGATCCTGCTCGACCCAGCCCTGCCACATCACACAGCACAGAGCAAACACACAGCACAGAGCACACAGCCCCTCACCAGCCCCATCCTGGTGGGAATCCTGAGCTAGCAGAGGCTCACAGCCCCTCCTGCCTGCTCCCTGCCTGGCCCAGGGCTCAGCACACCCAGGGTTCAGTGGAGGAATATTTGAGCCGAGCCCATCCAAGGGCATAAAAATACCAGAAATCTGCAGGGCTCTGGTCCTCTGAAACCAAAGGGAAAGAGGCAGGAGGGCGGTCAGCCTGCTACGTTGGTAAGAGAAGAGAGGGCTTTAGCAATTAAAGACATCTTGATTATCGAAAGCAGAGCTTGTCATCTAAGAAAGAGCCCCAATGTCTCTGGCAGCTGCGCAGCCTCCCTTCTGCAGCCCATCAGCGATCCCTGGGGTATTCGCTAGCATCCCTGCCAAAAAACACCCTGCCCCTGCCTGCCCTGAAGATGAGGGTGGTCGGAGTGGGAGTTGAAGCAAGGACCAAGCCTCCCAGTAGCCACTTTCCTGCGGTGCCAGCGTCAGCTTGGCTCCCCAGGGATTTCTGCTACAAGCAGCCACCGAGGGAGGAATTATCGAGGCAGTGCGAACCGTCCCCAGGGAGCTGCTGGCTCCCGAATCATTAAATGCTTCCACAAACGAAGCGATGGCTTTTGTAGTGCGTGAGGACTCGCTGCAACAGGGGGGGAGCAAAAACTGGGAGCAGAGGCACAGGAGCTTGGTCGAGGCTGGGGCTCGTCCCCAGGACCAGCCTGCAGGACCCCCCCCTGCCCTCCCCGGAGCATTTTTTTCCCCCAAAAAATCCAGCCTGTGTTTTCGAGGAGAGCAGGGAGGTTTCTGTCTCACCTCCTGTGTGCCTGTACCAGCCCATTACCTTTCCCAACTGGCCCTGCTCTGCTCCTCAGCAAGAGCAAAGCTTCCAGAAAAGCATCTGGTGCAGATTTAAAGGCATTAAGAGACAGAGATCGGTAGCTTGTTCTAATAGCTAATCATTATTAAAAGATCGCTCCTTATTTCTAAGATAGATCTGTCTGGCTTGGGCTTCCAGGAAGAGGTTGTTATTATGCCTTTCCCTGGTAGATTAAGTTACCTCTTTGTACCAGTGTTTTCTGCCCATGACAAATGCTGTAATCAAGTCACCTCTCAGTCTCCCCCCTGATAAATTAAACAGGCTGCGCTCTTAAATCATGCTTAGCCCAGGCCCTACCTTTGGTGATTAGAGCGAGTGGCTGGCAGAGATAATTTTTTATTATTATTATTTTTTTTTGATGAGCAGAAATCTCCCAGTGGGGGAAGGGAAGGAGCCGGCCGGACCCAGCCCAGCATCGGCAGCTGGAAGCTGTCGGTCACCGGTTGCCCAGCCTCATTTGGTGGCCAGCTGGAGAAATGATGATGAATTAACTCCTCCGAGACGACCTCGGCACACAAGCAGCATTCCCTGCAGAAGCAAAGCGAGGAGGGGGAGCCAGGATGGCTAATCCGGGGGGCTCCCCATCCACCAGGCAATTAACCTCCCCTGCACACTGTGCCCCGCACGCCCCCTCTGCCTTCCTCCGCCCGTGACATCCTGCTAAAGACATTTAAGCTGGCACTTGGACACGGCACGGCATCCCTGGAGGAGGCAGTGCCCTTAGGAAACAGATCCTCGTGCAGCTCAAGGGCGGCCAAGGTTGCTCGGGGAAGATTTGTTGGGCCAGCTTCGGATGACTGGGCTCTTTCTGCCCGGCCGCCAGCCACGGTTTTCCCATCTCCGGGCTCCCTGCATGGCTGAGCTGCTCAAATCCGCTCCCTGCAGCTGATTTGGGGCCGCACAAACCCGCTGGTGCATCTCCCTGATGCGTCCTCAGCATCCTTTCTGTCCCATCAGGCTGGTGCCCTGCACACCCCATAATCCCATCACATTCCCAGGCACCAGCTCCCTCCCCTTGGAAAGGGCTGACATTAAACTTGGGGTTTCTGCTCCTAGCTAGAAGCATCAGATGGGCATTTACTTAAAAACTCCTAAAACCCACCCATTTTTGTCCTAGCCAGCTCTGGGCAGCGCTGTCCCACTGACCCTAAAGCTTGGTCAAAGTTTGCTGCAGGTATTAAATATATTTGTGACAACTGACAGCCGATAAATCCCACTTCAGGTATGCTACAGCCAGACAAGTCCCTGCAATCTTTAAAATATACAGCATGACGCGAGATATTTTAAATAGATCAAAATACATTTATTACATATTTATATTATTTTCTCTAGTCTATTTATATCTTTTGGAGACTTATATATAATATATATAATATATTTAAAATAACATAAAATTGGCCAGTTTTGTCATCTGAAATACATTTTACAAATATATATATACATTGCCACATATATCTCAAATATATGTGCAATGAGACAGAGAAACACCGGAGGTGGAGAAGGTACAGAGACTTCCATTGCATCCATCAGCTTCGCTCCCGCTGCACGGCACCGCAGCCCCAGCGAACGGGCTCTGCCTTTTTCTGGCACTGGGAAACCAGTGCTCCCAGTTGCCAACCTGCCCGTGCGAACCGGTGGCCTGCCTCGGTCCCCAAACCGCGTTGGGGTTGAGCCTGGGGGTGCCCCCAGGAGCGTTTTTGGGGTGGGGGGAGGAAAAGATGGGGCTTTTTCCGAGGTCCCACCCGGGAGGGGACGGCGGGGAAGATGTGCACGGCTGGTGGGCGTCCGGACCCGGCCCTGCGCCAACCCCCTGTGGCAGCATCCCTGAATTGGGGCTGGGGGCAGAGCAGGACCCGGCCGCCCGCTGCGTTTCGGCGTGCGAGAAATGGCAAAGGGTGGGGTGGGGGGGGTGGAGGGGGGGCTCTTTTGGTTGTCAGCACGAGAGGGAAGGAAAGAGCAGGAGGGTTTAAAAATAAACGTATTTGTTCTGCCTTATTAAAGATAGAAAAGGTGGCTCTGAATTCATTTCCTACAAAAGGTTTGAAGGTCAAGCAGGCACCGCGTCGCGAAAGGTTAAGCGCTAAAGTGATTGTCCCAGCCCTAAAGACTAAGTGCACTAAATTCGGTGATGAGAAGCTAAGGCTCGTCCCGACGGCTCCCGGGGACCCCAGGGAGTGGGGACACCTCGTGCCACGGCACGGGGCCGCGGGGGGAGGCTCGGGGCGAGCATTTTCTGGAGGCAGCGGGTGCTCTTCGGAGGCTCGGGGCGAGCTGTGCAGGGTGCTGGCCAAGAGGATTAGTGGGGTCGCTCCCCTGATCCTGCAAGGATCGAGCGTAACGCCAGCGGGGGCTCCGTGGAAGGAGCAGCCTGGGCTGGGGGCGGTTTTGGGGGATGCGCCCCCCAAGGTTGGCTCTGAGCTCCCATTCCCACAGGTCCTGCTCTGCCCTCGCTCCATTCAGACACCAAACCCCGCACCCTGAGAGCATCCCCGTGCGTTTTCAGCCCCCTCCCAGGAACACCCACCGCTTTGGGGCTTCTTTTTGCTTTTTTTTTTTTTCCCCTCATTCTCTTTGACGCTGCGTGTGATAAAACCACCAAGGAGCCGCCAGAAGGAAGCCTCCCGGGCAGCCTTCACCACGCAGCAAAACTGCCCAAGAGCTCCGAGCACTCGCGGGTAGGCAAAAAATAATATTTATACACCATGTGCCAGCACGCCCATGGCCGGGACGAGGACTATACAGTGCAGATACGACGACTCGCCAGAGCTAGAGCCTCACTAGCGGGGTTTGGGGAGGGGGCACGTGAACGGGAGCTGGGGAGGGTCCCAAATTGGCCTCTCCGGGCTCTTCCCAGCCTCCCCCCATGGCCCCCTATGCGATAGTTTAAAAATACATCTGTATATATTATTCTATTCTCCCAGGTAACACTGTACAATCATATAAGTTTCTTTAAAAGCAATAATTTACTTAAAGACATCTCTATTTCTCTTTCATTTTTGTACAAATATTTACTGTGAGATATATATATATATATTTATAAAGAAATTAACCCTCTGAGAATCCTACAGCAGCAAGATGTGCACCTTTTTACACAGTTATTATTTATTCAAAAGAACCTAAAACCACTTAAAAGCATTTTTTCTTAAAAAAATAAATAAGTAGTGCGCACACAAAATCTCTCCGCCCCCCCTGTCGCCCTGCCCACCCACCCCCCTCAGATGCTGTGGGGCAAAAAGCGGGTGGCAAAAACCATCCCCCCCAGGGGCAAAGGGACCAGCAATGGGATGGTGCCCACGGTTGCAGTCTTGGAAACACAAATGTCGTGGCCAGCACCTGACGGCACATCCCGACACGTCCCCAGGTTTGGGGTCAGCCCGTTTGGGGCACTCGGTGCCAAAACAGCGGGCTATTTCCCAGTGGTGCCCAAGGTAGGGATGGTTTTTCACCGCGTTTTTTTGGTTAGGGGAAGCCAAAAATAACCCAGCCCCTGGGTGGGCAGCGTGGGGCTGCGGGGGTGAAGCTGTGGGATGAAGGGTGGGAGAAGAGGGGGGAGGGAATGTTGTGGGGACCCCATCCAGATGGCGAGAAGCTGTGTGGCAGGGGTAGGCAGGGGGCAGCGGCTCCTCTTGGCCAAAAAGAGTTGGAGATGAGGGCAGAAGACAAACCCTGCCTGCGCTGCTGATATTTGGGCACGCGCTGCTGAGTTCCAACCCCTGGAGGAAAGAACCACGAGCCCATGGAGCCGAATTGCTGCTGAGGACCCTGCTCCCCAACCCTCCTGCACCCCCCCGAGTTGGGTACAGCCTTTCCCACAGCACCGATAAGAAAACAGTGCCAGGATTTAGGGAGCAGTGAGCTGCATCTGCCCAACTTCCCTCTGTGCAAAGGGAGCTTCCCATGCACGGCGTGGTTCACCTCGGGGCATAGCAAAAGGCAAACCAGCCAGCAGCCAAGAGCAGCCCAAAATGCAGCAGACGGTGGGACGGGGGTGCTGCCGCGGGGGCAGAGCGATGGGGTCGGGGCGGGACGGGCATGGGATGAGTTTGCATCTCTAAGGCACGATCCACCTCGAGGCTGGGGCGCGGGGACAGGGGGATGCGCAGGACGCGGTGGGTTTCCTGACTGGCAGCTCTAGGTTTTTGGGAAAGCATCTGCCTCCGAACCAGGACTCTCCAGCGAATGGGGAATTCATAAATCCCAGCCCAGCAGAGGCGGCACAGGCGCTGCTGTGCCCGGACAGGGCAGAGTTCTCCTCCTGCTTCTGGGCTCGAAGAAATGCAGCCCAGCAAGACGAATTTCACCTGGATTTCCACATTTCAAATGAGTTTTCTAAGGAGAAGATACCAATTTATTTTTATTTTTTTTTGGGTGAAGTGGGGAAATACCTGAATTTGAGAGCTTTCGAGTCTGCCCTTTGTGCTTTTCATTATTTCATCCCAGTTATGGTGAAAGTTATGAATTCCCCGCCAGAGACACAGCACTTCAGCAGCTGATGCCCCAGACCCAATTTCCACCCTGAAGATCAATATTTCCAGAAATTGGCTAATTATTGTGTTTACAAAGATCCTTTCTATAGCAGTCTGGCTTTTCCCTATTAGCTACTTTGCCAGTAATTATGCTACTCGCTTTCGCTGCCACGGACCTGCAGCCACTTACGTCTATTTTCTGTCTAGGAAGCCGTGCCAGTGGAAAAAAAGCACACCCGAAAATCGGATGCCATCTTGGCTTCAAGCTCCTGCATCTGCCCAGCAAGTCACCCCTCAAAAGACCTCGGTGACTTATTCGTTCCCTTGCTCACTTTTAAAAAATACCGAATCACTCCTTTCAGATTTATTCATATTATTATTATTATTATTGTTATTGTCATTATTATTTTGGTAAACAGTCTCCCAAATGTTACGTTGAAAAAATTAAAAACCCTCTCACCTCCCTCCCCTCCCTTTTCCCCAAATTAAAAAGAAGTACGTTAACGTTGCATGTTATTTCAAGTGTTGATCTTGTGCAACTGAATCATACTGCCTGCCGGAAGGAGCAATTTTTTTGTTGTTGCTGCTCAGTTTAAAAAAAATAAAAAAAAAAAAAAAAAAGGAAAAGGAAAAGAAAGAAAGACAGATTTGTTTCCTGATATTTCCTCTTTTTGGATCTCGGCTCCAAGAAAACGCTCGCGCTTTCCCCGCGGGGAGAGCCCAGCCCTGCAGCTGGTGCGGGGCACGCACACGCCCGGGGCCCCTCCGCGTCCCCAGGGTGCGGGGAGCGCCCGTGCCCGCCCCGTCCCCTCCTGCAGACCGCTCAGTGGTTATTGCGATGAAACTGAAAACTAGGAACAATACTAATTTCTCAAGCATTCCTATGGCACTTGCATTGTTCTGCATAATTTGAGCGGGTTGTAGGGGAAGAGATTAGAGGAGGAAAAAAAATACCCTCGGAAAAGTCAGTGAGAGGACCAAGAGTCATATTTCCGACTCCCTCCGGTACGACCTCTGATCCAGCGCTATCGTCGCTTGAAGCCGGTCGAACTCGTGCCTGTTGTCCGGGCTCAGGTCATCCAAACCCCTGCTGTCATCGTCCTCCTCATCCTCGTCGCGGCTCATGAAGGCCAGCTCGTTCTCGTAGCAGAAGGAGTTGGTGCTCGGCAGGAGGAATTTGTTCTCCACCAAGTCCTTGGCGCTGCAGCGGGGGGTGGACGGGACCTCGTAGGTTTTGTGGAAGTGGGAATAGTCTACTTTGTACTGGTTTTTCTCCTCGAACAAGACGGGCTCGAAGCGGTGGCCCCACAGGATCTCGCTGGCCAGGTAGGAGCTCCGAGCTTGCGTCGTCATCGCGGTGGCTTCCACCATGCCTTCCAGGATGACCACGATCTCAAAGTCGTCCGTCTCTAAGTCCTGGCGGCTGATCCCAAACAGGGGGCTGTCTTCGTTGATCTCGTGGAGAATTGTGATGGGGGACACCAAGAAGATACGGTCCAAGCCTTTATCAAAGCCCACGTCGATGTCTATTTGGTCGAGGGGTATGTACTCCCCTTCTTCCGTGATCCTGGGCTTAATTAACTGAGCTCGTACGTGGGCTTCTACTATGTGGCTTTTACGGAGGTTCCCAACTCTCCACATCAGGCAGAGTTTCCCATCTCTCATCGCCACTACCGCGTTATGGCTGAAAAGTAATGTCTGGGCCCGTTTTTTGGGCCTGGCCATCTTTGCCATTATTGCACCAATCATGAAAGAGTCGATTATACACCCCACGATGGACTGAACCACCACCATGAAGACGGCGAGCGGGCACTCCTCCGTCACGCAGCGGAAGCCGTAACCAATAGTCGTTTGGGTCTCGATGGAGAACAGAAAAGCAGCCACAAAGCCATTGACCTGCAGAACGCAAGGCTTGAAGGTATCGTCTCCACCTGGGTTTTCTAGGTCTCCATGAATGAGTGCAATTAGCCAGAAAATCAGCCCAAACAATAACCAGGACACCAGAAACGCCAGGGAGAAGAGCAAGAGCATATACCTCCAACGGATGTCGACGCACGTGGTGAACATGTCTGCGATGTACCTCTGCGGCTTGTCATCCATGTTGGTGAACTCCACGTTGCACTGGCCGTTCTTCTTTACGAACCTGTTCCTGCATTTCCTCCGGGTGTGGATTTTCCCATTGCCAAAGCCGTTGATTCCTGGCATGGTGGTCAACCTCAGCCCGTCTTCCTCGGAGGACACGATGCTGTAGGGGTTGACTCTGCCCGCAGTCATCCCTGAGCCAAGCCCACAGTGAAGGTGAAGGGTCTCGCGACTCCTGGCGTCCCCCTGGCCCACCCCTGCCCACCCCCCAAATTCTGTTGCGGTGGAAGAGAAGTCCCAAGCTTCCACGTCTTGGCGGCCACGTCACCACGCGGATCCTGTGAGAGGCTCTGAAATGAAAAAACAAAGACAGGGCCGTTACCTCCCTGGGCAAAGGGACTGGAGGGCACCCCCTGAGTGCTGGCTGCAGGACCTCCCTGATCCCATTTCTCTTGCCCCTGTGGCAAGGCTGTTCCCAAAAAACCACACAGGGGGAAGGAAGAGGCCTCAAAGTTTGTTCTTTCATGCTGCAAACCTTGCTGGGGAGACGTTGGCATTTCTGGGAACCCCAAAGAAACCAGCGGATGAAAAACCTTGGATTGCACCGGAGTCTCTTAAGACGTCTCTGCTTCTCATTCCTCATGAGCTCTCCTGTCGGAGCGGGGTCAGGTTGCTGGAGGGGAGAGCAGAGAGGCCAAGCTGCTCTCCTTCCTCATGCGGAGATATTAATAAAGGTACGCCTGAAAGCAGCTCCGGCAGTTCACATTGCCCGTGCCAGATGGATGGCTGCCCAGCAGCGGTCACCCGACCTCCCGAGCACCAGCTCTTTTGGGGTCGAGGGAAACCACAGGGAGATGTGGATTTAACCTCCCTTCCCTTGCCCGGGGGTGGGAGAGGACACGGCCAACGTGCAGCTGGTTGGAGACGGCCCCGGGAAGGCACTCGCTCTGGGCAGATGTCCTGAGGAGCAGCGTTCCCAACAGGTCCACTGGGACACGGAGCCATCTACGGTCACGGGTGGGTTACGGTGGCCAAGTCTCATGGAGGGACAAGTGCTGCTGGGGAAGGGGGGGCTGTTTTGATCCCATTTGCTTGGCCCAGCTCATCCCATGGTGAGGGGCACCCAAAAACATCCTGCTGCCCCCTCCCCAGCACACCAGGCTGCAGGAGGGATTGCAGAGAAGCCAAATCCCAAGCACCCCAAACAGATTGCGCTCCCCAACCCCTCTGCCACAGCTCGCCCTGTTATTTAACAACACTGGGATGTGTCTGGGGATGAAACCCCCGTCCCCCCCAGCCCAGAGGTGCCCGGCTCATGGCTGCACACCCTGCTCCGTACCCGCGGTGCCGATCGATGTGCTCGATCCCTGCAATCAGTGCGAGCCCTGGGGACACGCAGGGACAAGCACACCCTTTCCATTGCACGCAGCCCGGGCTGGGCGGCCGGCCCAGCGTCATCGCCAGCACCGAGCCGATGGCGATGCATTTTCTCCAGCCTCGCCGCTGTTCTGCCACGTTTGCCTTATTCCTTTGCCTCCACCCGGCCAGCTGCCGAAGCACCCAGGAAGGGAAAGGAGAGGAAAACCCAATTCTTGTCCCACCCGTACAGCAAAACCCAGGAGTAAAAAAGGGGGAAGAAAAGCACAGGCTGGTGTCAGGTGCCTCTCCCCAACCCGTCCCCTCCCGGTTTTCCTGTGGGGGTTTGACAAAAGTGCTTTTCGGCTGACAAAATGATTACAGGGTGCCGAGACAGTAAGTTGCACATGGATTTCTTCCTGCATTTCAAGCAGGGCAAGGACACGGCTGCGAAAACAGCTGCACTTCTGGAGGGGTCGCAGTAGTAGGGGAGAGAGGGGGTGGCAGAAAGGGGGGATTTGGGGAGAAGAGGAAGGAGGGATGATTTCTGCTTGGGGAAAGGCAAGGAGTGAGCAGGTGGGAGCGCGCACGAATGTGCAAAGGCAAAGAGAAATGGAGACGCGTGTCCCTGTTGGAGCAGGGACATGTCTGGGGGGTGCTGGCGCTGCTGCCTGGGCCAGCCCGAAGTGGGAAGGGGGCAAGCAGGAGCTGCTGCCCCCAGCAGGGTCAGATCCATCATCCTTGCTGCAATTCTTGGGCAGCAGCAGCGCCAGGAGAGCTCCTGGCAGGAACAACGAGCAAATGGCCCGTAGCGGGGTGCCCGGCACGCACTTGGACTCCCCGTGCCTGCAGGCAGTGGGTGCTGGGCAGGGGGGAGGAGGAGAGGAGGATTTCAGATCCAAACTCAATCTGTTGGAGAACTTGGCCTGCTCCCCGTCAAGCTGAAAATAGCACATATGTAAGTACGTGCATGCAGTGCTGGCTGTGTCCTCGCCGAGCGCTTCCTTCCTGCTGTGCTCCGCTGCCGCGTCCTAGCCCCCGGCCCCGCTCACGGGCACCAGCTTTTGGCTCGAGGCGAAGAGCATCCTCCTTTTGGTGGAGCACGAGGTGTTTTGGCACGGCCACGGGGCCTGGGGCCCTTTGCAGTCCCATTTCTCCGGTGATGCTCAGAGCTGCAGCTCGTCTTCACCTCTGCAAGCCCCCAGCAGTGCCGGGATGTTGGTCACGGTGCAGAGCAGAGCTTGGGCAAAGCCTCTCCTTGCCCGGCTTTGAATCCCCCCCCTATTAAATATCCAGGACAAGCAGCCCAGGCTGGAGGAAATAGAGAATTTCTATCAGCAAGCTGACCACAAATACGCTAGGACACTGTGTATCCGCTTCCACAAGATCATCTCTAGCACTGCCTCTGGGACAGCCTGCGGTTGCAGGCAGTGGTTGATGCGCTGCGGCGCGGCAGAGCCTGGCTGGGACCTGCAGCCGGGTGCAGGGGGTGGCACCGGCTGGGGCAGAAAGCAAGCAGAGCTCTAAAATGCGCTCACATCCACCAAAAACGCTCCTGAGCATCGCCCAAACCCCACTTCTTTCCGAAGGCCTCTGAGGACTGGCATTAGAGAGCGTGTGGTATCAGCTCTCCTGAAACAAAGCCATTGTGGTTGAGCCAGGATCCTTATTAATTCTTTCCTCTCTTTAATTTCCAATTTTTCTTGGTTCCCTTTGCAATTGCTCAGGCAGGCGTTGGGTGGGGGCCCCCCACTGCCAGCCCGTGTCCCTGCGGCACGGGGCCACCCGCGGGATCGCTCGGTGACACCGGGATGTGGCAGCGCCAGCCCCAAAACGACACCCTGGGGCTCAGGTGGCCAGGCAGCACGGCCACCCCCCAGCTGGGACAGGATGTTGCTAAAAACATCCATTTTTTTCCCCAAACAGTGCCCTTAGGGACAGACCACGGGGCTGGGACAGGAGCTGCAAGACCAGCGGGTGCCACAAAGCCCACCCCAGCCGTCACCTTGTCCCCCTCCGCCTGCAGCACCCACCTCACCCGACACATTTCCCTCTCCACCTTTGGGTACCCCATCTCCCCTCTCCCCCAGGCCCCCAAAAATCACCGATTTCCCCATTTCATCCTGCACAAGGTGCCCCTGCCATCCCCTCCAGCACCAGCCCAGCAGCGCCCATGCCACCAACGTGTCCCCAAATCCTGGGGGGCGCCCGGGGTGCCCACCCAGCAGCAATTACATAACCCAGAGCCCGGGGCTGTTTTCATTCGTGCTGCCTCCAGCGCCGCGCTCTTCAACTTTATTTGCATAACAAATAATTAATAATAATTAATGGCTGGGAGAGCGGTGCGCCTCGCCAGATTGTGCTAATTAGCGAAGAGGCGCAATCGCAAGAGCGAAGGCAGGAGTCCCACGGCCCTGCCAGGGAGGAGGAGGAGGAGGATGGTGGTGATGGTGGGTGGGATGGGCAGCGATGCTCGCAGGGTTTTGGGGGGATTTGGGTGCCTCAAGGTGGGTGCGTGGAGCCCCCCCCTGCCCCGATACGTCCCCTTTCCTTGCCGCATGCGTGCCACCGCGCTGCGTCCTGCTCCTGGCTTTCTCCCTGCCCTTATTAGAGCCCGGGACAACACTGCCTGCTTGTCCGGTGGTGGCACCGCTCCATGCAATTAACGAGAAGAAAGACAACAGCTCCTCGCTCAAAAGCCTTTGCTCCAGCCGCAGCGAGGGGGAGAAGGGGGCAGAGGGCACGGGGCTCGTGCCTCCCCATGCGTGAGGCATGGGACGCTCTGGGGACAGGGGATTTGGGGGTGAGGGATTTTTGGGGCTCGTGGATGAGCCTCTGTGGGGCACCAGCAGTCTCTCATCCCCTAAATCCCCATCTGCCCCTGTGTCCCAGGAAGGGGTTGTCACCTCTGATGTCATTTCAGCTGCTCATGGGTCTGCGCCGCTGTATTTTGGGGTGTTGGTGACATGGTGGTGGCTCCCTCTGCTCTGTGTCCCCTGGGGAGGGGAAGCTCTGGCAATTGGGGTGAGGAAAGGAAAGGAAAGGAAAGGAAAGGAAAGGAAAGGAAAGGAAAGGAAAGGAAAGGAAAGGAAAGGAAAGGAAAGGAAAGGAAAGGAAAGGAAAGGAAAGGAAAGGAAAGGAAAGGAAAGGAAAGGAAAGGAAAGGAAAGGAAAAGGAAAGGAAAGGAAAGGAAAGGAAAGGAAAGGAAAGGAAAGGAAAAGGAAAGGAAAGGAAGGAAAGGAAAGGAAAGGAAAGGAAAGGAAAGGAAAGGAAAGGAAAGGAAAGGAAAGGAAAGGAAAGGAAAGGGGGACTCAGAGTCTCATCTTTCAGCTGCTCAAGCACTGG